TATAGACACTTCCTATGGCCCCTTCAGTGTCCATATCAATGGGGTTTGACTGTCATTTGGTGTCCTGTTTAAAGTGTATTTTCAGCCATTCTTCACATTTTCCACCTTGCATGTCATAACCTAAGGCAAAGATGTCAGATGTCAGAGCTTTAAGGGAATCCAAGAGAGAACTACAGCACGCACCGTTGGAGTTTAGTAATTGTAGTATGATCAGCTGTGTAATTTTTAATATCATCATTTTTTGTTGCTCGTTTGCGTTTAGGCAGTCGCGCTTTCGACTGCCAAGCCACTTACAATAATGATATCGGCAGAAACCTAACAGCACGCGACAGACCCTCTTAAAGAGCAGTGCTTTGTAATGTCCGTTTACATTTACGATACTTCATTCTGTGATGCTCATCAAAGGCCGTTTTAAAAAGTGTTAACTCTCTCCTAACTCAGTAACAAACGTTAGTAACAACCGTCAACTTGTTTTTATTTATTTATTTGTTCTTGTAATGGAGGAAGAGTAAACTTTCTTATACACCTAAGAGAGAGAAATAATATAAATACTGCTCGGCAACAATCAAGTTTTTTCTACTGAGCGACAATAATCTCCGCTTACCTGGCGCAATGCATGTCTCTCCATCCCCATCGTAACCATATTTGCACGCACATTTGTATGATCCAATAGCATTTGTGCAGGTAGCTCTATCTCTGTCACAGGTATGATTTCCACCGCTGCACTCGTCTATATCTGAGTGAACACAAATTAACTTAAAAGATATAGATTTAACCGATTTCAAAAGCGAAACTTTCGTGGTATCTTGTAAGAAATGTCTTTCTACAATAGTTCAACTTTTGCCATGAGCAAGAAGCAAACTGAATTCCTCCTGACAAATAGACACTGATTAAAAACCAGTAGTTTGTCAGCGGAGAACTTTAAAAGAAAACACTTACAATGATTTCTACACCTGTGTTCGTGATACAGTCATGTGATACTGGTTAGCTGATACCTTTTCTGACGGCTAGTGTCCATTGACCATAACATGGATGTCAATATGAAATTTAACACAGATTCTACACACCTTGGACTCCAAACTAGTTGATGTGACATTGTGCATGCATTGACCGGGGACGGTCATCCAGACCCTGAGAGATAGGGAGGGGTGGTCTCAAAAATAAAATTTTTCGGCCCAGGGCCCTTCCCCTGGGCCCGCCACTACGTTCAATATGTTATCTCTGTTCACATGGAACTTTAAACGGCTAGGCGTCTGATCTGAATTTCCGTACGGTTAAGCTGGTTCCGTGTGAACACAACACCTAAATGCACGATTTGCCGTGTGAACATAGCTCCATTATCGGCATTTATATAATATCGGAACACCAAAATCTGATCAGTTTCTTACCTACACAGTTTTTACCATCTCCAGTGAAACCAGGGAGGCAAGAACAACGGTAAGAACCAATTGAGTTTGTACAGTTGGCGTTCAAGTCGCAAAGCCGGTCAGTGGAACTGCACTCGTTCATGTCTGATAACAATGATGAAAATGAACCAAAACAACGTTCAATAACAAAATTTTATAACGCTCAATTTTATTAAGCCAGAATTGCTTGGGGCTCGTGGTTCCACTTGAGCACTTGAGCTTTAACGCATTTTGAAGCCAAAATTTTTTGTCCGTTCGTTAAGTGTTTGAATAATGGAAAGCTGACCACCTACGAACTGCATTTTTCAAAAAGAAAAAGAAAGAACATTCATAATGCGTTATATTCGGTATACATAGATTTTGATGTTAAATAGATTCGCCCTATAGCCAAACTACCCAGCTGTCAGTTAACTTTGAATGCTTGATTGAATGTGAAATATTTCGACGAAGGCATGGATGTTCTGAGCTCTAACGTTGGTGAAGGGGGGGGAAGGGGGGGGGGTGAGATCTAAATAATTGGGGCAAGCAGCCGTTACATTAACTTCGCCTGTAGGTTTCTTTCTTAGATGGGCGTTAACAAGAGAGGGAATCTCACATAAATATGTCGCGAACTTAAAATAAACTTCAAATAATTATCATGGGGCACAGGGATTCGCTCTCTCAACTCATCTGATTATCACATTGTTAATTCACTTCATACCGCCAACTTACCCTCTGCATCCATGTCACATTCTGCATAAATAATCTTCCCAAGATGAATAAGTTCGATCCAATACGAACCGTTGACAGCATGCTCTCCTTCACTAGCCTTAATTTCTCTACATGACTGAGCAGGTAACTCAGGAATCGAACCAAGCGGAACTAAAAATAAGCAAATTACGTTCATTATTAATATTATTCACGCATAAAAGTATTCCTTTTCTGATAGGCCGTAATACCCTGGCTAATTTTCTACAACCAGGTAGCGCTGACCAAATGTGAAAGATAATTGCTATTATTTCATTAAGAATGACGTCACTCGTAAAACAATTTTTAAAATTTGGAGGATTGACGTCACGCAGACAGTGGCGTGGCAGCTCAGCTGTACGCTTGTTTTGGACAGTGTTTTAATAACCTAAAATTTCTTCTCAGGTGGACTAGCAATTCATACTTTTCACGACTTCTATTTTCAATTACGTTGACGCTAGTTTGAGAAGGGAATGCTTATGCGTGGTTTACTATCTCTGAAAAGGCTACAAAGATTTCGTATTTTTCATGGGTGAACTTTAGCAGACAGTAAAGTCAACTTTTAGTGCACAAGGTTGTTGTTGTTGTTGTTATTGTTGATGTTGTTGAGATCACTTCGTATCTGTCTTTAAAAACAATTATCTTTTACAATCTTGTTGACTATTGGATAACGACTTATGGGATTTTAATTAGTCATTTTCACAGAACTATTGTTGAAAAAATAATATTCAATGACTTGCATGGGTTAGCCTTTCCCGGCTCAATTCCCGACAATTTTTCCAAGACGCCTTGATGTTAATAAAGCAATTGGAAAAGGGCAGTTTATTTTTTTCCCCCACACCCTTCTGATTGGTCAATGGTGGCAATCTATGGTTAGACTGTTTACATGCAGTCCCCTATTTTGTCGTAGGATCGTCGAAGTCAGTGCTTACCTCCTAACCGTTATGGCGGCCATCTTGGTTGCAAATCATGCACTAAGGCAGACGATCTTACAAAAAATATGGGGACTGCTAACAGTCTACTTAATGTTTAATAGACAGTCAATCAAGAAACTCTTTACCTCTTTTCCTAACCATTCCGTAGTAATATCTGTTTACGTCGAAGATGAAATGCTCCGGTCGAGCCTCTTTAGTAGGGTTGTTTAGCTCACAGATGTCTTGGTTAATGATGTAATTAAAGCTCTGACATCTGACATCTTCTTCACAGGCAACTAAACACCCTAAAGAGGTGGGTGCGTGGAACGTCTTGAAAACGTATTGACGTAGCATCATGCTTTTAATGGAACTTTCAGTCTGGGTGCAATAGCTAGTTGCTGAATAACGCACGTTTGACAAGACGAGCAAAACTACTGCGAGCTTTGCCTTTTGAAAAGGTATTGTCAACATCTTTTTCTGCAAAAAAATAAGCAAGGAATATCGATTAGCAGGGCCTTCGAAGGTGTGCAATTTGTGTGGGTAAAGGTGTGGCTCACTGGGTTTGCGTTTATTAGTGCTAAATGAGATGGTTTCGATGCATGTCGACTGAGTGCAGTCTCTCTTGCTAGAAAAATCTGAGATATGGGGCGATGGTGCCC